GACCGATTTAAGACACCTTCGTTACTGTTAAGATCCATATATAAAACTACATTAAGCTGTCAATATTCAACTTCATAAGTATTATTGAATGAAAAAATTTTTTGGAGTAGAATAGGTAAATCAGCAAAGTTGAACGAATCGTGTTGTATTTTTATTATTCTTTAATTCTATTATTTTTTTTTATTTATATGAAATGCGAAGCGAAATATGAAGCAAAATATGAAATGAAATATGAAATGAAATATGAAGCAAAATATGAAGCAAAATACGAAGTGAAGCGAAAAATGAAGTGAAATACGAAGCGAAATATGAAGCAAAATATGAAGCAAAATATAAAGCGAAATATGAAATGAATTAATAAAGAAACGAATTAGCCTTTAAAATAACGATAATTACTATTAGTCTACAGTAGTCTAGCGATAGTTTATTTAATTTAATCGATTATATCATTAATGATTGTCGGATCGTTTGGTTTGATTACCGGGCAACCACATGATCATCCGGAGCACAACTTGGTACACATTTTCGATTTGCAAATATTTGACCAATTAAAACAAACTTCCACCGTGCTGCTACACAAATAAATAACAATCCAAACAGGTAAAAACAGGTAAGAAAATACGTCGAAATTATAGATGCCTAATTATCGAATATTCGAATTATTCTATTTATTCAAGTTATGTTGCTCAAATTAATTGGAATATATTATTCTATTGTATTCGTTATGTTGCTCAAAAATTAATTGGAATATTCGAATTATTCAAATAGTTCGGGGAATTAAATATCAGAACTATTTAGAATATTCTAATTACTCGGAATACTCAAATTTGGAAAAATTCAAATTTTCAATCAATATCAATGTTAAGGTAAAATTGTTTCTCGATATTTTTACGTTTCAGAACTTATTTACGTTATTATTAAATTTTCTTTATTTGAGGGCTAAATTCGCACAAGCTGATCACGTTATACAAACATTCAATGTTATAATATGCGTGCATTACATAGTAGTTTCTGATTAAGGTCAATGTAAAATATATATATAGCTCTTGAGTTCTTTCAACTTCCCCTATCTTTTGTACGTAAAATTTTATTATATTGATGCAAGATAGCAAGAGCTCAAACAGTTTACGTGAGTTAGAATTTAAAAGACATACGTACTGTATCACAATGACGAAACAAAAACATCTAGTTTGTCACATACAAATGGCCACCGACTACGTTTACAAAAACAGGAGACGATTATATTCTTAATGTATTTTACACCCTGTTTTTACGTTATTTCTTGCTTATGAACTTTGACTTAAATATTTTATTCTTTATTCAATTCGAACTTTGACTTGAATATTTTATGAGTTCGAATTTTGACTTCAGCATTTTACTCGTTTAATTTTTTGATACGAACCTTGACTTCAATATATTATCATTTTAATTTTTATTCAATTCGAACATTGACTTCAATATTTTATTCGTTTAATTTTTATTCGATTACACGTGTTTTCTTTTATGATTTAGTATTTATGTATTTTATGAATAATTATAACAGGCACGATTACGTATTATACTTGTTTATTATATCGATGTGATTGAATTCATTTGGTACACAATTTGGCTTGTTACTCGATTTTATATTTTTTATTTGATTTAAGTTTGGTTCTATCCGTTCAATTTTTACTCTGAACATTTTTTTACAATTAAGATTTTATACATTGCAATTATACTATATTTTATTTGACTTATTTTTTATTCAATTGAATTTTTTAGGTTCAATCTTTTCATCCAATTCTGTTTTTTTCGATTAATTTTTATTTCAGGCCTGAAATGTTAATCTATTTTCCAAATTAATTTTAACTATTTTAAGTATTTTAAGTATTTTAACTATTTTAAGTATTTTAAGTACAGTATTTTAACTATTTTGTGTCATATATAATTTTTATCTTTTATATAAATATGCACCCAATGTTGTAATTAATGGTTAGTACTTATTATGTCTTAAAATAAAATAAAGATTGTAAATATTAGAAAGTCTTAAATTTATACTTCATAATTATTTCATAAAATAGATGTCACGCAAAACCAGGAACGATAGATGTGAGTACCTAGTATTGCATTTAACAAAAATGTAATAGGCTGTGCACCTTGGGATGTTATATGGAATATTATATAAAGATCTAGTATAATTTATATACAGTCGTACCTGGGTTATATCCCCCCTTTTTTCCAGAGCATTTTTGGAGATATAACTAAGGTAGGGATATAACTCAATATATAAAATATATAAAAACATATAAAAAAGAGGAAATTTGTTTGGCTAAATATGGGGATATAACTCAGGTTGGGATATAACCCAGTGGGGATATAACTCAGGTATGCTGTATTAATACTAGTTTATGCAGTATTTAAAATAAGTATTGTGCATCGTTTTAATGCTATATATTTTCTCACCTGTGATTTCATTGCTATTTGGTTTCATAAAACTCTTATTAATTCTATTTACTGGATCTGTATCCTAACATCTTTTCATTAATTTAACTAATTCATGTTGAATGTCAATTGGAATTTCTGGACGAAGACCATTAAGAATACCCAGAATAAGATATTCATCATGTTACGATCAGAAAATGGCCTGTAACCACTTATTACCTCCCAAAAATCGTACCAAAACTATAAATGTCTTCTGGTGCGACATATGGAATAACTTCAAAGATTGCAATTTCATTTGACGATGCATCTATTGGTTTGCTTATTCCTAAATCTGCAATTGCTGGAATATTATCTGTCCAATAAGAATATTGCCACTAAGAAGATCGCGATGAATAAATTTATGTTTGTGTAGTTTACCAAACCAGACTGAAATTTTTTGCAATAGTTCTAATTTATTTTTCAAGATAAAGTATTTGCGCTATTTAGAAAATAATTAGGTCTCTATTCTGTGCAAATTCTATAACTATTATATAGCTTTTTGTTTGAGAAAATTTTTCGTACATCAGTTTCGTGTAATATCACGCACCAATTTTTTTCGATGATTTGCACATCGATGATTTGCACATCGATGATTTGCACATCGATGATTTGCATGCACATCAGTTTCGTGTAACATTACGTACATCAATTATTCTCGCTCGGATTACTTTAAACCTTATATTTATGGAACAACATTATGGGAGTAGTGCGCTCGCTGCAAGTCACTCAATTCACATGATGAAAGCATTGAGAGCATCGAATACATAGTCGTGGTGTGATATCAAAATAGAAAGATGAAAAAAAACTTTTACAAATACATAAATTTAAGTGGGCAAATACAAAAATTACCACAATAATATGATGCTTACGCTTAGAGATGGGCACTATGCAGCATGGTGCTTAATTGTTACATGATTAAAATTATGAAAATCACATTGGATGTTAATTTTTTACATAAATTATTATATGTGACGATTAAGTACCATGCTGCATAGTACCCATCTCTACTCACGCTTTAGTGTAGTGATCTTTTTCTTAAACAACTTATAGATGAATATATATTCATATAATTAATTGTAATTTATGACTGAGTGAATGTAAAATTCACCACAGTAACAAGGTGCCCACACTTCGGTATAGCGACCCATTATCTTTCAAACTCAACATTCATATAAATTACAACTGAGAACTGGGTAAATGCAAAAATTACCGCAGTGGGAAGTGCTCACACTATGATGCAGTGGCTTTTCCTTAAATTAGTAATATATATCTGCATAAGGGTTATTTGTTGTAAGGTTATTGGAGGAAGGGTAGGGACTAAAATGATAAATCCAGATAATAATAATCAGGCAGCAAAAGAAACAAGCACTTCTGAACACCACTTTTGCCATTACTTTAAATCACCACCCAATCACAAGCCAGCACTATAAAGACTTCTCTTCAGAACAAATAGCACTAGTATGTCGCAAAGGAGTATATCCCTATGAATATATTAATTCTCATAATAGGTTTTTAGAAACTAAGCTCCCTCCTATTCATGAAT